CAAGTACAGTACTGGCAATGAGGATGTGTAGGTCTTGGTGCCCCCAACTGCTCCAGTAAATAGCCCTCTATTTATGGGATTTGACTTTGTTCAAAGACAATCAGCCAGGGCACAAAAACCTAATAATCTTTTAGAAGTAGACAGCTACAAGTCAGCTACACTCTTAGATTTCCAATATAGTATTTATGTCTAAATAATTAACTTGATCACTTAGTTTAATATTTAAATACAGCTGGCTCCAACTAATGTCTCATTACAAAGTGGTTTTGTTATGGGAGGCACAAAAGTAAATTGTTCAGGGAACTCTCCCAATAAAAAAATCTATTAATCTGCTATCTTAAAATTAAAAGTACAACCCTCACCTGCATTCATACCAAAAAAGCAGGGGTTCTAAATACAATATACAGCATGTGGAAAACAAGACTACAATCTACCTTAAGTCATGTCACTGGGATGGTTTGGCCTCCTGGTTTCAAGATGTATAGAGTTTAACAATATATGGATATGACACAAAAGTGACAAAAAATTTGGCAAGTCAACTATGATACTGAAAAGGTCAATATGAATTCTATTCTATCCCAAAAGTATTTGTCCTGGGTCATCTCTAATGAACCTAGAAGAAGCCAGCATATTTCACAGGGGCTAAATAAAACTTTTTAAAAGGTTAACGGAAAAATATTTATGTGAAAAATGCCTCCAAATATTCTTTTAGTGGGTGGATTCAGCACATACCAGTGAATACCTTTGAGCTTGGTCCAATTTTGAATTAAGCTACAGTTCACCTTTAAGAAACAATGAACCTGTTTTTAAGTAAAACCCTGTATTAATAAGAAACATGGAATGTGAATACAAAATAAAAGATATTATCAACTGCACTGTATCTAAATATTTTACAAAGTTTTCCATGAGCCGTCAGTAGATCTTTAAAATGCATCATCTTTCAAAAAACTTGTTAGTCATTCATCTGTAAAAATCTAGCTTTTTATGTGTATGCCAAGCATAAAATTGCCCCATGCTAAATTTAACACAAACCTCACATCACAGAATGATGTGTTCTTGCACTTCAACATGACTATGACAGTGATTCAAAGGATAAAAACACACTTAGAACAGTCAGTCTACCTTTTGCTGCAATTCAGTACAATGAAAAAAGCCTGAGAAGCATGCAAAAATTAGGTCCATATTTTAAATCTGCAGGCAATCAAGCCAGGAGCCAGGCTATGCAATCACAATCACTTGCAAAACCATTTAAACCATTTTTTAGTTGTAATTGTTAGCAGTTTCTTATGACTGTAATCTTTAAAAAAATATCTTCCACTTCAAAAATTAAATGCACATGTACATTAACTTTTTTTGTCTACTTGGAGTTAGGTGCTAGCTATTCCAAGTTAAAATTTTCTTCTTCTTTCCAATTCTGCATTCCCTGCTTTTAATTTTTGTATACTATGGTTCCAAGTTAATTTCATAAGATTTATCCAAATAATGGTTAGCTAACTACAATTTGTAAAGATATACAGTTTAATAAACAATGAAGAGAGTCACTTTATGATAACATTGTTTTTGGGGAACCTAGGTGGCTCAGTTGGTTAAGTGGCTGCCTTTTTTTTTTTTTTTTATAAATTAATTTTTATTGGTGTTCAATTTACCAACATACAGAATAACACCCAGTGCTCATCCCATCAAGTGTCCCCCTCCGTGCCCGTCACCCATTCACCCCCACCCCCCGCCCTCCTCCCCTTCCACCACCCCTAGTTCATTTCCCAGAGTTAGAAGTCTTTATGTTCCGTGTAAGTGGCTGCCTTTGGCTCAGGTCATGATCCCAGGATCCTGGGATCCAGCCCCACGTTAGGTTTTCTGCTCTGTGGGGAGTCTGCTTTTCCCTCTCCCTCTGTCCCTCTCCCGACTTGTGTGTTAAGAGTTCTCTCTAATAAATAAAATCTTTAAAAAGAAAAAAAAATTGTTTTTTACAAAGTAGTATGTTATCTTTTCCGATATTCAAGGATGGTTAATCATTTTACAAATGCTAGATAATTAAAGATACTCAGCATTATAAACTGGTATGCATAACTCTTAATAGAGCACACTGAATCATAAGATATGAAATGAGTTGCTCAAGATCAGAAAATATGCCAGCCAGGTGGCCTGCAGTGGCAACCTTAAATTCTTGTCCCTCACATGTGCCATCCCAAGAGAGATCTACTCTAACTTCTGTCTGCAAAACTCGTAACCTAGGCATTCTTCACGGGCCAGAAACCTCTTAGGACAGGATTTCAAACTTAAGGAATTAAGTAAAAAAGAATTTAACATAAATGTTACCCTAATAAACAAATTTAATTTTCAGGTAATGGATTCATCACCTGAATGGTCAACTTCTAAGAAACTAACTTTTTGCCAATGTTGTATTTAAGTGGCTGGGCGATGGCTCCGGAGGCCACTGGGGCACCACTAGAGAGGACTAGCCATCAGGGAGTAAAACAGTTACAGTTCAGAGTAGGGCTGCCGTCGTCCTCTGTGGTAACCTGAGGCAGAGACCACGCAGTGTTCACAGGGAAGAACACAGGTATTGACTTTCTCACCTCTCAGTTTGGAAGGAGTAAGGGATCATATCCTTCTTTCAAATTCTCAATTTGAACTACTGGAGACTGAAGGAAGTTCTAAAGTGTTAACAGTTGGGTTGTTTTAAGCTGGTCCCAAATAGCTTTATCACTTTTAACATTACGTTTAAAGCAATTCTTTCGGGGATCCCTGGGTGGCGCAGCGGTTTGGCGCCTGCCTTTGGCCCAGGGCGTGATCCTGGGGACCCGGGATCGAGTCCCACGTCGGGCTCCCGGTGCATGGAGCCTGCTTCTCCCTCTGCCTGTGTCTCTGCCTCTCTCTCTCTCTCTGTGACTATCATAAATAAATAAAAATTAAAAAAAAAATAAAGCAATTCTTTCATGCATTCTTAACACATTTCTGATCACTGAAACTCACTGGCCTCTTTATACTATCTCTTCCCCTATTCGCAAATAAGTTCCTAAATCACTTAGCAAGCTTAAAAAAAAATCAAAGTTTAGAGGCAAACTACCACTGTTAAAAGACAGAGTTTGCAGGTAATCTATAATGTGATTTCATGGTAAGACTATCAAGTTAATAACTACCTGACTTCCATGTTCAAAAGCACAATGTTTATATTCTTTGAAAAAATACCTAGTGCCAAAAGTAACTATTCAAACATAAACTATATGTACATTGGCCACCTGGTACATTTAAAAACATCTGACAGATTAAAAGTATATAAGAATGGGAGGCACCTGGGTGGCATACTTATGTTGAGCATCCAACTCTTGGTTTTAGCTCAGGTCTGATCTCAGGGTCATGAGATCAAGCCCCGCGTTAGGCTCCATGCTCAGCGGGGAGTCTGCTTGAGATTCTCTCTCCCTCTCTCTCTGCCCCTCCCCCAATACTTTCTCTAAAAAAAAATAAATCTTAAAAAAAATTTTTTAAGTGTAAAAATGGAATTTTTGATAAGCCTACATAGAATTATACAATTTTTATTTGAAAAGGGAGGGAGAAGGCACAGAAGAAAATCAACATTCATCATGTACTTACTAGGAAACAGGTACCATGCTTAGTATTTTAGAAAAAACTAAAATCAATTCAATGCTTCTTATATTTCCTTACCAAGTAATTATAAACCTATATATTCAAACATCAAAGGAATTAAACATAAACTCTCTGAGAATCCTGACTTGATTCCATTTTTTTCTTTGGGCCATGTACTAAACCTATCACATTCATCATTCTTACATATATAGACCAAAGGCTCAGAGTGCTATTAAATTATCCCAGAATGTAACTCATGAATACTATTACCTCACTGAAATATTCAAGAGGCTACTTTTGATGATCCAAGAATTCAATTCTCGTAAGTATGCTCTGATAGAAGTTTGTTACTACTTTCATTAAACATCAAGAGATGAGCTGTTAATATTGAAAAATACTCTTCATTATGACCATTTACATACTTAAGCTTAGTCAGCTTCCAAAGGTTATAAGGAAGAGAAACAGAGTTAGAAATGAGATAAATTTGGCTTCACTGAGGACTTTGTTTCATAGGATCTGCACTGGCTGGCTATTTTGTTTTACTGATATACAGAACATTGGTCATGTCAGGGAAAACTGATGCTTTTTGAGAGAGGTAGAAGGAAGTTAAAAAAAAGATGCCTGTGCTTCCAACGCATAACAGCTTGATCACTAACCTTTGAGAAAAGAGATAAACTGAAGGGATTTTCAAGTGTCATTCTTACACTTCTCAAATTTCAATTAATTGATTCTAAGAACTCAGCACAATGTGAAAAATGCTTATTACTATGTTAAATGAAAACAACACAGTATAAACTTTCATCTATATTATAGTTATATAAAAATGTGTATCTAAAAAAGAACTGAAAGTTAAAGTTTATTTTTTTAATTTAAATCCAATTAATTAACATATAGTGTATTATTAGTTTCAGAGGTAGAGTTTAGTCATTCATCAGTCTTATATAACACCCAATGCTCGTTACATCACGTGCCCTCCTTAATGTCTATCACCTAGTTACCCCAGCCCCCACCTCCCTCTACTCCAGCAACCCTTAGTTTGTTTCCTATGATTAAGAGTCTTTTATGGTTTGTCTCCCTCTCTGATTTCATCTTGAAACAGTTGATTTTAGAGTACAATGGGTTTATAGATAATTGCTTTAATTTTGATTCTTTTGTAATATAACAATGTTGCAATAAGAACAGCTTTATAAAATTATATCCTCACCATGTAGAGTAAATGGTACTCTGTTTGCAATGACTAAAACATGCTAAGAATATGAGTGTTTGTGTTTTCTGTCAGCTCCAGGAAACCATGACTTCCTTGTCTGCCCCACAACATCTCAGGCCCAAATAGATCTAATAAATATCCAATGCCAGTCTAATCACTCAACTAGTGACGAACACCAAGTGTAGTTATCAGGAAAGTAAAAACTTACTGTTATTTGTTGGTTCAGGAAACCCAGCCTTTGGACCACTCCATCCTTTGTTTTCCCCTGTCTGAAAGATTAATTCAATTGTGTAAATCCAGAGAAAGAGATCAATTCAAAAAGAAGAAAGTTAACTAATCAATTAATAAGCAAAGGCAAAAGTCACTCACATGATTATTCTGATTATTCTTTCCCTCTCTAACCTCAGAACCATAAATATAAAAGTAACTAATAGGAACAGTATCATTTCTTCCTTTTCTACATGCAAATCTATTCTTATGTCTCCTTCTGCTTTCATCAGTTTATCTAAATTTACAATTTAAGTAATCAATAAAGCCCCATATTCAGTACATTATATACAACATAGGCTCTATCTAGATGGTTAAAAAGTAAACAATTCTTACTCAAACGCTAAACAATAATAATCACCACAAACACTAAAGTGACTCAAAGGGCTTTATGACTTCTGAGGTCAAATTAATAATAGAAATATTACTGGGTCTGTTCTGTAAAAGTTCTGTGTCAAGGGTCATGAAATATTGCTCACAACAAATTGAAAACTCAGCTCAAGATTTAAGTAAAACTTGTAATATCCTGACTTTTGTCAGATGATTTGACCTCTATTGGTTATAAAAATATTCCGAGAAACCAATATATTCTGAAGTACTAAGTATTAGTACTTTAACTAATTTTAGTTAAATTAATAAATGACCTTCACTGGTTATATTCTCTTTGTATGGAGCTGGTATTATTGATATAAGGTACACCAGGGGGAAAAAAGACGTATTTCCTATCATAATCAGCACTTTATATTTACATTATCGGATGTCAATGTTCAAATGGATAAATTAACTCTATAGATATAAATACAAAATACAGTCCTAGCAAATAGTGTACCACCGTGAAAGGATAGAGGAGGAGGAAATGCTCGTCAGTGCAGACAGATGTCAATGGAAGACCTGGGAAGACCCCACTTACACATTCTCTGTGAAGATGAGATCACAGAATGAGAGGAAAGCTGACTGAGGGAGGTTAGAAGGTTGAGGGAAGTATAGTAAGGAATAAGTCACATTAGGGAGATGAAGAGTGGGCAGATTAGAAGAATGCAGAGTCTCAGGCAAGTGAGGGTTTAGCTGAAGTTGATAATAAATTTAGCATTTCATTCTTCCTTTCGTTCTACTTATAACCAGGGTTAAATATTAGACTATATGCTCTATGTCTAGTTTTTCACCTTCAACTGAATCCCAAGCCTCTCTGATTTCCACCTCAATACTCTAATATAACTTTTTGTAGGGTTTCTGCTTAAACATGACAGAGTAAACAGAAAGAGTAATCTCTCCCCCACCCCACCAAACATCTCTAAATGGATAATCCAGTAATCCATAAACTCTCTCTCCCTCTCTTCTGCCCACCGACCCTCAAAGAGAATATGAAGGTACTCAACAACAGAAGAAATAAGCCTATCAAAGGCTAGAACCAGAAAAGCATATAAACAAGTTGGAACTGACCTAGCAGATGTGAGTAGGCTGAAACTAGTCTCAAGGGTGAGAAGTCAACAAAGACTTTACAGAAAAGTAAACTGATTTGTGTCCCCAGAACCCCCAAAAGCCTCAGGAATTAGAAGCACACTTGGTACTTCTAAAGATGAATCCTGGAAGGACCTGAAAACAGAAATATTATCTGAAAGTCTTTCAAAGTGCTATGAAATTTTCAGGTCACCTCTGTGACCCCAAAAAAGACAGCTTTCATAAGAAGTAGGTTTTTTTTTTTTTTCATTATGTTACTAGGTCAGCTTTATTTCTGATGATAACCACTAGTCCTTTGGTGCCAATAGAATGAATAAAAGGCACAAACGAGCTGGGTAATACTGACTTGTGTCAAAACAATCAGTTTGCAGCAATCATTCCATTCTCCCCAAGATTACAGCATGCATATGTCTCCTCTGCTCACCACACTCTACACCTGGACCTCCTTTCCCAGCCTGAAACATAATGCCCATTCTTCAAGTACCAGTTCAAAATCTACTGCTTCCATAAAGTGTTCAACCTCCCCTCTCAACCCAATGATACTCTCTCTCTCTTCTGAATTCCACTCAGATGTTTCCAATGTTTCTTGCACCAACTATAATTTTTTGCCTGCGTTGTAATTATTAATCTAAGCATTGCTTTCCACTAATCCAGTTTCAATATTTTGCAAGAAGGACAGTAACAGTGTCTTCTTTCCTTTATGTCCAGCATGGCAGGTGTTCCAACAATTATAGAAAGGAGCACGTTAGTGTGTGAAGGAGAATATATTACACAGTGCACTGTCAGAAGGACTCACACACTAAAGGAACTAAGGGACAGGAAGACATGAAGATAAAGGGAAAAGTACATTTTGAGGCTGAAGGTAGGACAATAATAATAGAAATATCCTTTTGAAGACAACTCTATATACCATATTGACCATATTGCCTGCATGCCTTTTCCCCAAACTCTCCAACCTTCTTCGGAAAGGCTAAAACAGAGAGACTTTGAACAACACTAGGCACAGCTGTGGGTGGGATGCTCAACCACAGTGTAAATGAGATGGGAGTCCAAACTTATCCTGGAAGATAAGACATCCAATGCTCTTCCTCATTTTGGACTCAGAAGACAATAGCCAGGCTTCTGACCCACAAGGAATGGCAAAGACAACAAAGGGAAAAGAATAAACCTTCCAAAAAAGGTTAAGATTTTTTAAAGTTCTCAGAGACATAAAAGAAATATTATACCCATTAAACAAGAAAAAGGGGCTATAAAAAGGAATATTCTGAGAATGAGGAAGAGCTCTGGGAAGTCAATAATATAATAACCAAAGTAAATAATTTCAAAAAAGAACTGGAAGACACAGTTAAAGAAATCTCCTAGAAAACAGTAAGTACAGAAGGAAAGAGAAAGGAAGGCAGGCAAGCAGGCTGGCTCATCAGATGATCTATAATACTAGTAGGTATCCTAGAAAGAAACAATAGCAAAAATGGAAGGAAAGAAATTTTCAAAGGAATAATATAAGAAATTTCTCACTTTTAAAGTAGATGAATTTCTGGATTAAAATCCAAATGCCCAGCATAATTTACCAAAGAATACACACATCAAGTCAATCATTCACAGATTTCAGAACCCCTAAGGAAAAAAAAAATCAGAAAAGCATCAAAAGGGGCAAAAGCATAAAAGTTTATATATATATATATATATATATATATATATATATATATATGTATGTATGTATAGGCTGAAGAATCAGTAAGCTTTAGAGTTTCAAAAGGGAGGTAGAAAACATTGGAGAAGAACCTTCAAAATTCTGTTAAAAAGTTATTTCCAATTTAGAATTGGATCTTAGAAAGGCCATCAATTAAGTGTGTGGGAAATATAAAGATATTTCAGACCTATAAGATCTCAAAAAAATATTTACTCACCAAGTATCTTCTACAGGCAAGCTACTAAAATATGTGTTCCATCCAAACAAGGAAGTAAATTAAGAATAAGGGAAACCTTCCAGAAAATAGGCAACTCAACAAGGAGAGAGGCAAAAGAAATTTTCAAAATAATGGCTAAGAAAAGAACCAAAATAATAGCTCTGCAGCAGACCCATCAAACGATTAACCCAAATTAGGAAAGGAAGATAAAAAGCTTTAAGAAAGATTTTAAAAAGGAACTAAAAAAATTGTATGATGGGTTTGCTTATAAGAGAGCTTGAGGGAAAAAAAAAAGAGCTTGAGGATAAGTTAGAAAGATGTAGGGAAGTGTACATGTGGAGTATGTATATGAGTTAAGTCTTCATTTTTCATAGCAAGAACTCAGACAATATCTAAAAATGAAAAATATAGGGGCGCCTGAGTGGCTCAGTCAGTTAAGCATCTGCCTTTAGCTCAGGTCATGATCCAGGGGTCCTGGGTTTGAGCCCCACATCTGACTCCCTCCTCAGCAGAAAGCCTGCATATCCCTCTCTCTGCCACTCCCCCTGCTTGTGCATTGTCTCTCTCAAATAAATAAATAAAATCTCTTTAAAAAAAACAAATGCAAAATCTAGAAATAGCAATATGAGCAACAGAAAAACAATACAATGAACAGCTGAAGCAAGTGACAAATGATTGTCTCTGGAAAAAGGAAGCAGAAATGGCCAGTAGCAGGGCTTTTTTTTTTTAATAAATCTTGAGCCCTTATACAATTAATCTTGATAAATCCTGATTTTTTATACATATATCATCAGTATTATTTTGATCAATATAATAATAAAATCTAAAAAAGAACGAAATACATGCCAGTTATGTCTTGTTATAGAACAAACTCCACAATATAAGTGAAACCCCAACATATAAATGGGAAAGAAAATCAAGATGTAAGAACAGTATATTTTAAAAGGGTGGAAAGAATGTTTCACTTTTTCTTAGAATGTAGAAATGTGTCAATGAGAAAGCACCAGAGAAAACGTCTCTTGAATCCATTCGAGATCTGAGATTGTAAAACAAACATGAAAAATGAATTCTAGAGAGTGACAAACCCCTCCAAAGAGAGGTAGGGCTCGCAAAGTGTTTCAACATTGGCAGAGCAAGTAAGGAAGAGATGAATGTTATAAAAGCAGGTGAGAAGAAAGTAGATGAAATGCCAATAAATTCTATGGGGTGCCTGGGTGGCTCAATCAGTTAAGCATCTGCCTTTGATAGCTCTGCAGTAGACTTGGCTTGGGTCATGATCTCAGGGTCCTGGGATCGAGCCGTGTGTTAGGCTCCTTGATTAGTGGTGAGTCTGCTTCTCCCTCTCTTTCTCCCCCCTCTCATGTTCTCTCTCTCTCTCTCTCTCTCTCTCTCTCTCTCTCTCTCTCTCCAATAAATAAAATCTTTTTTAAAAATGCCAATAAATTCTAAAAGATTGAGTGTGGGCTAGCACAACAGTTCAGAAAAACTAGGATCTCCAGGCAGAATCTCTTTTCCATGGGCCTCTCCTGGGTACTCAGGAGAACAATCTACCAGAGGTACAACTGGAAACCACAGAAAGCCTCAATTGGTAGAGGAGATATGCAGCTGGTGAATATTTGCCACTGAGAGGAAAGGAT